AAAAATAAAGTAATGAATAATATTTTTTGGAGAATGTATGGTTGAAATTTAAAGTAACTTTATTGGTTTGTGTGTAGAATATTTTATTAGGTGAATATGTGGTAGAGAATCTTACTATAACAAGCAATTTTTTGAAATAATGATAGACAAACTGCAATTTCTTAAGGGGAATTGACCCGAGATAAAATCTTGAACTTCATGAGAACAGCTGCAATTTCATTAAAGATTATGAAGAATTAAATTTAATGCAGAATATAATCTTTTGTGTTTATGAATGTTAGTGAAGAGGAATTTCAAATCTCAATTGCTATTACAGATTCAATTTTCGATTGACTTCACGAATCACGACTGTCTTTTTCTTATGGATTGGGCTTGCCAAGATAGATACTGGACTGCTGCTAGAGTTCAATTAGTGGGCTTTCATTAGAAAATTGATCTTAAAAATTAGTTCCCATATAGTGGGTTACATGGATGGCCCGACCCAATTACTAGCTGGAACAAGTTTCTCATAGTTCCAATCTTCAATTATAGAGCATTTAGTTCTTTTTGAGTTTTTATAGCCTAAAGGAAAGATTGATTAAAAAGGAAAAATAAAGAGTGCAAAAGTCACTATACATTGAAAACTATGGCTAGGGCAGGGCAAAAACAAATTCAAACCATTCAAATCGATCGATCAAACCCAACCCAACCCATTAATAAATTGGATTGAGTTTGGGTTTGATAATCAAATTTTAAGTTGAATTGGGTTGCGGGCTACTCAATTAAAATCAATCAACCTAACTCAACCCGACCCAATTAATAAAAATCGTAAAATTTAATTACAAGACCTACTAAATCCCTAAATTTGATTCAGAATTGCCTCTCGGCACCCACCTCCAACCAACCCACGTCCTCGTCCTTATGTTCTACCGATATATGGAAGACTATCGCTTCGCTTCAGGCTTCTTATTGTCAAAAATAAAAAAATCATCATCATCAGTCCAATGGGTCGGCGCCCCTTAATAATCCTTTACTTTCTCAAAGTTCGTTAGCCTATGCTTCAAATGGGCTGCATCGAAATATTTCGGGGCAATTTTATGTGCAATCAACTCTATAATTGGGTACCTTCCGATGTTATCAATCATGTCTTTTAATGCCACGTTGTTTATTATGGTGGTGATGGTGCTTTCAGTTGGGTACTTGATCGATGGGGATGTGGTGGTAGATGAGAACTCATGTGAATATTTTTGAAACTTTGAAAGTCAAAAATCGATGAATCTAACCCAATTCTACTTAAGTTTAGTTGATTTGGGTTTGTCGAGTTTCAATTTTGGCGATTGATTTGGTTTAATTTTTTATCAAAAATGTTGGGTTGAGTTTAGTTTGGGCCCAAAAATCGATCTAACCCAACCTATGCCCAATCCTAACTATGGCCACAATGTTTCTAATCTTGACAGGCATGTTTTCGTAAATGCGTCAATGTTCTTTAAGCGTGTACTGGAGAATTTCGCAATCTAGAACTAAAATTCATTTAAAAAGGAATTGCACCCGATAGTTAGAAGAATTTAAAAAAAAAAAGTAGATATTGACACGTGCAAATAAGACAAGAGTCGCACATACGATATTGCAACATCGAAAGTGTTTGTTTCTTTTTCACTTTTGCATCTTTACAAGTTATTTCCCTATTGGAAACAAAATAGCCTTCGGATGGCAATTTAGAAAGAGGAAAGAGGATAAATGAATTTAATTAAATGTTAAGTATAAAGTCAACGTCAATGGTTAAATTATGATTAAATAAAGTACCGGAAAATTATCGCTTAGCTAACACGAGATTTGTTTTTATCCAAAAAGAATACCCAAACTATAAGGAAGGGAATCATTCCATCCGTTGACATTATTTTCAATTTGATCCACACAAAGTCATCAATTAACCCCTCATAAGTCGTATCTAGGTTAATTAACACAAACGATTATGTATACGTGTGCGTAAATATTCATCGATGTACATTTAAAAAAAAACTGTATTTGGCATTGTTTGAGATCAATTTGACACACGTTATGGACCCATGCCATATAAAACATAAAACATTTGTCACGTGAACCACTAAGAGTAAATATTTAGTACGTCTAATAACTTAATGAACACATCAATATCAAAACGACAATCAACTAATCAACATAAATTCTTCTACTCATTTTTAACCACACATTCTTCAATAAAATAATATTTTCCATCACATCAATAACTTTTCATTATTTTTCAACCACACATTCTCCATCAATCTACTATTCCAAAATACATTTTTCCAAAATAATGTGGCTCAAACGCACCCTAAATTTTTATATATACTATCTTAATTAAGTCCATCTTTTATAGTCTTTTTTACTTCCTTAGAATATCTTCAATAGACTCTTTAAGAGGGGTGTTTGTTGGGGATTAAAATTATATTTTTAATAGATTTTGATAGAAGTTTTTGAAATGTGTGGTTGAAAATATGTGGAGCTCATGNGTTACGTGACCACAAAAACTCCAGAAAGTGAAAACAAAAAAGAAGAAAGATTAGGTCCTTAGAACCATATTGTGGTCACTATTAAAGCTTTTTATGTGGGTGGAAGTGCTTTTGCATGTGTATACATGATAGGATAGGAGTGGAGTTTGGGTGGAGAAATTGAAATTAATGAGCATGTCAAGAAATGTAGGTCCCCAAAAATATCCTCAGCAAACTAGGAGTACATGTCATCAAGTACCCTTATGTTCAGATTTTTTATTTAACTTGTTTGTACAGTAACGTCGTACTCAGAGTTGAAGATATCTTAGAAGAGATATTTTTATTTTAAAAAGTCAAAATTTTGGCACCTTTTTTTTTTTCAAATTTTCTCTTTCTTAATTATAATTACACATTCTTCAAATAAAATAATATTACACGTAAATCTAAAATTTTTCATTACTTTTCAACCACACATTCTTCCCTCAATCACTATTCCAAAATTTATAATTTACCCAAAATGGGTGCCCAACACGTACTAAATTAGATTTCAGTAAATTCTTTATGACTTAAAAATAAATAATGGATTTTGCTCTCTCTATATTGGGAGAGTCAAATCAACTCTCTATTTGTATTTTATCATATGATGGTACTTAGAGGGTGTTTGGTGAAGATTGAAATTAGATTTTTAGTTGATTGTGATATACGTTTTTGAAATGTGTGTTTGAAAAGTTATGAAACTCATGATAGATGTAGTCGTGTGCGCTTCCGATCTAGATTTTTAGTTGATTGTGATATACGTTTTTGAAATGTGTGTGTGATAAGTTATGAAACTCATGATAGATGTGGTTAATATTAATTGTCTGACGAAACAGACTCTTAATAAAATTGTAAATTTCAATGCTACACAACTTAGCTTATTCCTATTATATTAAATATTTAAGGTATTGACATCTAAAATATATGTATTAATTGAAAAAAGAGAAAAATAATGAAATATTGATTGTTGGAAAAAGTAAGGTGCCGTTCTCTTTGTATTTCAGTTTTCTGTTTTGAGTTTTGAATTCGTTTTGTGTTTTGTATTTTGAGTGTCTGTTTTGAAATTGCTGAAAACGCGTTCTGTTTGTTGTTTTGGAAAATCGTTTCTGAAAACATGAAACTAGAAAACACATTTACTTTGAAACTCAAAATAGTGTTTTGTGTATAATAGTTTTTTTCAAAAAACCACCACAACACCGCCATAAACACCATGAACCACTGCCAAAATCAACACCACCACCACCTTCATACACATCCTAATTCGACCTCAATCAACACCACCTCTACCACCTTCGACCACTGCCCTCCCGACCTAAATCAATTCCACCAAAACCACCACCTCTTTGCACTGCCAAAATCAACCAAAATCTCCACCTCTGCCACCATCAACCCCTGCATTGCCAACCTAAATCAATACCACCACCACCACCTCTTTGCATTGCCAACCAAAATCGACCAAAATCACCACCTCTGCCACCTTCAACCATTGCCCCTACCCAACCTAAATCAATACCACCACCACCACCTCTTTGCATTGCCAACCAAAATCAGCGTCTGCCACCATCATCAACCATCTACCACCACCAAAATCAAAAAGTTATGAAACTCATGATAGATGTTGTTAATATTAATTGTCTGACGAAACAGGCTCTTAATAAAATTGTAAATTTCAATGCTACACAACTTAGCTTATTCCTATTATATTAAATATTGAAGGCATTGCAATCTAAAATATATGTATTAATTGAAAAAAGAGAAAAATAATGAAATATTGATTGTTGGAAAAAGTAAAGTTTGTAGGAGTATATAAAAAAACTTATTCTTTATATTTAAATATGTTCTCTATTACGACCAAGACGCTTTTAATATTAACTTAGTTTAGAAGATTTAAACAATGTAAGATTTTACCATTAAATATTCTCGTCATATTTATAAATACTAAAATTATTTTTTATTCGAACATTTCGAAAAATTCACAAGTACTGTCAACAATTCACCATTCATTTCTTTTATTTGTAATTTAAATCATTTTTATAAACACTTCTTAAACATGATATATATTGTTTAAACTGATTTCGAGAAATTCACAAGCCATCCGTTAATATCTATCTAATTATTATTATTTAAATAGTTTAAAAACACTTTTTTGGGTGCATCTCAAAGTCTTGCCCCACCAAATTAAAGTCGCATTTCACAATCTGGCCTCCGCTAATGATAAAAGGAAACAAAACCATAGAGAAACCCAACCCTAACCCCACCCATTCGAAAGTCCAAACACTATACCAACCACTAGCTTAAAGCCGACAGCAGAACATATTTATTCCAGAGACATTATTTTATATGTTTTTATAGTTTCACGCGGTTTGTGGGATCAATCAAAATAGACCTTCAAACTATACGCGTTTGCGTATTCAATGCTCAAAACCACACAACTCCCTCTTTAATCAATTCCCTTTCTTCATACTATTTTGATTTTGTCTGTTAAATCCGAACAATATGTTGGTTTCTATTTTTCTATTTGTTCTTCTTTTCATTCTTAGCTTAATCTATGCATTTTACAACATCCCCCCAACAAAGAAATTTCTTGCATGGATTTTTCAACCTTTTTCTTACAAAAAGTCAGCAGAAAAACCCAGTATAGCCACGGCGGATATTAACAAGGTCAAGACTGCTTCTGCAAATAAAATTGAGATCAGAAGTGTTTTTGCTACTTTTGACAAGAACAAGGATGGCTTTATAACAAAGCATGAGCTCAAAGAATCACTAAAGAACATTGGAATTTTCGAAGGAGAAAAGCATGTTGCTGATATGTTTGGTAGAGTTGATGCTAATGGAGATGGTTTAATTGATTTTGATGAGTTCTGTGATCTTTTCGAGTCGATATCCAGTACTAAAGACGGAGAAGAAGAGGGCCATAAAGAAGAAGATGGAGATGGAGATTTGAAAGAGGCTTTCGATGTGTTTGATGGGAATAAAGATGGGCTAATAACAGTGGACGAGTTGGGTTTGGTGTTGTCTTCTTTAGGGCTTACAGAGGGAAAGAAGTTGGAAGAATGCAAGGAGATGATTAAGAAAGTTGACATGGATGGAGATGGTATGGTCAATTTTGAGGAGTTCAAGAGAATGATGAAAGGGGGTGGAAGACTTTTTCCAGTTTCTTGAGTCGGGACGACGGCTAAGTCAAATTTAAACTCATCGCTCGACTAGACATGGAAATGATTTTCTTGAAAGAGTAAGAAACTCAGTTCTATAACTCTCCTCTAGTTAGAACTCTAAATTAGGTTTAGGTGTGATTCTCAACTCGTTGCAATAAAAGCAATCAGGCTAGATTAATCACATATTGTGTGACTTTTCGATTATTTGTAACTTCTTTTGTTACGTTAGTGATGTTACTGTCTTCTTGATCATCAATTTGATGATCAATTTGTACCTAGAGGCGTGTGTGTACATATTTTGTTGTTTCTACTCGATGTCCAAATAGATACTTCTTATGTCTGTAAACATGATTACTGTTTTATTATTGGCATTTATGGATCCTAAATTTAGAAGTAGGTGCAGGACATTACAGTATACAAAGATGGGGTATTACCAATGTGTTGACCAATTTTGTTCAAGTAATAGTTATCGCAAAACAAGCTCTTTATTGACTTTAAAACATAACTGTGAAATAAAGAGTAATGCTATGAGCCCCATTAGAGTTGTAACTCCAATCTAAGTAGCGCTAAATGATAGGCTAAATAAAATGTGTACCTATCATTTAACGTTACCTGGGTAGAGCTAAATAATATTACTCTTAAATAAATGGAAATTAGACGATATTGGATAATATTCGAAAAGAAAAAGCCTTTGAAAAGATTTATCTATAATTCTGTTGCATAAAAGTCTCGAAAACCGATATTGCATTTGCAAAGTGGGTAAAATAAGCTGAAAAATAAAATGATCAATGAGTTGTATTCAACATCATATGCATAAGGATTTCAAGACAAAATTCAATTCTAAATGCCCCAACCCCACCACAGGAACTTTTCTATCCTATCATCAAAGGGAGAAAGAAAGTGAATGACAAGCCAAGGAAAAATACGTGCTATTTCGTTAAAGCAAAAGTATTATTAAAGTGCATTCAAGAATAGCATCTTCGACCATCACTTTATATACCACATGCTAATGCCTGAAGTTGCGTGCTATTCTCGAAGGGTATGACATTTGTTTTAAGCAGTATTGCACAATCAGTCGAAAGAATCCACACACTTCATCAAAACTAAAAGACATCTCCATAACCATCAAAGAGATATGGGAAATTATGATGCTATGTACATATACTAAAGCACCAGTACCTGAAGGTGTTTGCTGCTAACCAACAAAGGGACAAACAAAATTGGAAAACTGCCCGAGCAACAGATCCAAATTGTTCTACAATACGATCCAGGTAAAATGCGTTTTGAAGTTATGCTACCAATCAAGCAGCGCACCTCTCCGAAGCTAAACATTGCGACTAAAAGGCAGGCCATACGGTAAAGCCATTTAGCACTAATGTGCAGGGATTAACTAAAACACGTCTGGGTGAAGCGACCTGGAATCAAGTCGCGCAGCTGAGTCTGCTTGAGGTGCATAGAAAGGGTGTAGTAATTGACCTGAGCAACATAAACAACAATTGTTTTCGGGCTAAGTATGTGACGATGGAGATAAGATCAAAAAAATCAAATAAAAGATTGTAAACAGTTCTGGAAGTACAAACTCATGTATTTATCTAACCAAAACAGCGGAAAAGACCAGCAAACAAACAAAATAGTGTACCCCTTTGAAATCAAACTACAACGATAATGCATACATGTTAAATTAAATGATGCAAACAGGAAAAAGGTACACGTAACAAACAAAAAACCAACATTTTCTGGACCTTTAAAACATGAAAAATTTGCTTCACAGATAATCTTTCAGGAATATTACAGAACACCGCCCAAATATGTTGCAGAAACGGAGTCGCCCCAGGAGCGATCAAATCAAACACTTAAAACCCGCTTCAGTTTCCTGGCAATCAACAAAAATGACAATATCGACCTTAAGGTAAAGCCCAAGAAGATCTAAAAATGCATTTCTCCACATAACACCTATGTTTACCCCTCTCCTGAGTCTCCTCCCTCTGTTCTAAATATTTCAAGTTCAATTAATCATAGCAATCGAGCTTGCACAGGATATGATTGGTATAGGATGGACAGAATGGGGTAAATGAGTTGAATCTTGCTATGTATGCAAAGTACGTTGGCAAACTTGGTTTACAAACTATGTGCTGTCAACATCTAGGCCAATCATTTCAAAAACAGTTTTTAAAATAAATGGAAATCAATGGTCTAAATCTTGCCAACACTTATTTCGTAAACAAACTTTGTTTAGTTTGTACAACTAGATTAATTTAAATGGATTGCATTGTCAGAAGGATGATGAAGTTTGAAGAATTTCACTTTCTGTATTGCTTCTCTGTTTCAATAAAAAAATATTACACCCACCAGATTACAAGAGTTTGTATGTACAAATAAATACACGTTTACAAGGACTATTCAAAGTAAATATCCTAGAACTAAGGCTGTCAGTTACAGAGTATAAACATGGAATACAAAAGCTGTTACATCCTTGGAGTGAATTGCCCAAAAGTCACTGAACTTTACGCCATGCTTCCAAGAGGTCACTGAACTTTCAAAATCACTCAAATTATCATTGAACTTTGCAAAAGATTTTCACGAGGTCACTGAACTTTAAAAATCACCTTATTCATCACTGAATTTTGTAAAAGGTTTCCTAGGGATCACTAATTCAGTGATTTCCTAGGAAACATTTTGCAAAGTTTAGTAATCACGTAGAAACCTTTTGCAAAGTTTAGTAATGAATGAGGGGATTTTTAAAATTCAGTGACCTCGTGGAAACCTTTTAGAAAGTTCAGTGATGACTTGAGTGATTTTTAAAGTTCAGTTACCCCTTGAAAGCATGGCGTAAAGTTCAGTGACTATTTGGACAACTCACTCTACATCCTTGAATTGAGGCTAAGAATTTGCAATCACTTTGGTTGCTTGATTTGAGGATGCTTCCGTTATACGCCCCCGCAAAATGGGAGCTGTCATCGGCTAAGAAAATCTTGTCTCTTTGAATTTCTGTCCTTTTGCGTGAGAGAGCCTTTGTTAGAAGATCAACTAGCTGGTCCCATGTGTTAACATGATGAACGTTGATGATTCCACGTTGGACCATATCTCGAACAAAATGAAGATCAATCTCAATATGTTTCATTCAAGAGTGTTGGACAGGATTAAAACTTAGATGTGTCGCACCCAAATTATCACATAGTAGCTTGGGTTGTCCAGATAATGGCAGGCCGAGTTCCTTGAATAATGAGAGGAGCCATGATGTCTCTAAGGCTGCATTTGCAAGGGCTCAATATTGTGCTTCAGTGGATGAACGTGCTACTGTCCTTTTCTTCTTCGAACTCCAAGAGGTAGGATTTACACCAAGAAAGCTGATATTTATGACTATATATAAAAAGAGATGAGTCAGCTTTTGAATTTTGAAACCCAAGGTCCATAATGGCCAATTTAAGAGCTGAATACCAAACTCTTGGAGCCTGTTTAAGGCCATAAATAGCCTTACATAACCTGCACACATGATTTGGCTTGGTGACATCTTTGAATCCCGACGGTTGTATCATATACACTGTCTTAATCAGTTCACCATGCAAAAATGCATTGTTGACATCTAAATGTCTTAAGAACCACCCCTGCATTATAGTCATAGCCGGTTTCACAATTGGGCTAAAAGTTTCTTTGTAATCTACCCCTTCTCATTGATTAAAGCCTTTTGTGACAAGCTTCGCTTTAAAGCGATACCCATCTGATTTTCGTTTCACACGAAATACCCATTTGCACCCAACAGGATTGCAATTTTTAGGTGGGGAAACAAGTTCCCATGTACCATAACGCATGAGTGCGGTAAGTTCATCTGACATAGCTTGTCTCCAGTGAGGTTTACGGAGTGCTTAGCCCACATTGGTTGATTCAATGGTTGGTGGGAGTGGGTGTTTGATCACGTAATTAAATTGTTTGGATTTATGAATGTTATTCATGGACCGAGTGGTCATTGTGTGGGTTCGGTGAGAATGAGGCAGATGTGGATCAATTTGGTGGTCATCTCTATCAATCGTGTTTTCTGAGGCATGAGTGGTGTGTGAATTTAAGTGAGAGGGCAAGGGTTCATGTGATTGAGAGAAATTAGGGCATGAATGTAAGGATTGCATATCTCAAAAATTAAAAGAAGAGGAATCAGAGCAGTTACCTAGAGATGATACGAAAATTGTGTTACCTCTCGTTGTCACTGGTAGTGGTTCCGGCAGAGGCGGCAAAGTGATTGGTGGCACAATTGTCGCAGACGCGGGAGATGTAGCTGGTGCCTATGTTTCGACTGAATGAAGATGAGGGTGGGTTTGACTTTCGTCAAACAAAACATGCCTAGATAGATAAAGTTTTTGGGCTTTTGGGTCAAGGCATTTATACGCATTATGGGTTGGAGAATAGCCCACAAACACACATGGAGTTGCCTTGGGCCGCAATTTATTTGTGTTATAGGGCTTGTTGAGGAGGAAACATAAGCACCCGAATTTTCTGAGTTTGAGGTAGTTTGGTGGCTGATGAAATAATGCTTCAAAAGGGTGATTTGTTATGTAGGAGTGGTGTTTGCTGTCTGTTTATGAGGTTGGCTACCGTTGAAAAAACATGAGGCCAATATGAGAGAGATAAAGATACATCATGTAAAATGGTAATACCCGTTTCAACCAAATGACGATGACGGCGCTCGGATACACCATTTTGTTGTGGTGTGTGAGGAGCGGTGGTATAATGACTTATTCCATGTATTGAAAAATATTTTTTTAAAGCCACAAATTCACCACCATTGTCTGAATAGATACCTTTTTCTTTTTGATTGAAATCGATTTTCAACAAGATGTTTAAATTGATGAAATATCGTGCTAACCCTGAATTTTGTTTCCATTGGATAAAACCAGATATATTTTGTAAAATGATCAACCAAAATCAAATAATATCGTGAGCCATCAACGCCATTGTATTTGAGGGACCCCAAACATCGGTGTAAATTAAATCAAGTGGTGCATGGCTTTGAAAGCT